ACTGGAGAAGGGCAAGAAAGAACCGGGAAGATGGGTTTGGTGCCCTGTAATGAGAATGAAGATGAGGCACAGAAGACAGTTTGTAGATATCTTTTGTTGGTCGTATTGACAGGATTTAGCGACAGATTGGATTAAGGGAGTGAGGGAGAAGGAACAGGTGTGTCAAGGATGTTTTTCAGAATACTTTGTCCGAGTGACTTGCTGGATTATATAGATGGTGGAATAGGTTTTTTTTGGGGGGGTGTCGGGTGGAGAATGAGGGAAGAGATAGAAGTTCAGTGTAGGACATGTTTATTTTATGATATCTACAAGATTTCCAGTGCATAAACTGAATAGATGAGGCGTGTTACTCAGAAGAGTTATCCATCTGGGATGGAGATACACAGTTAAGAGTATTTGGCACATGTAGCGTGAGATCCTTGTGGACGGTGGGGATTGACTGGAGACAAATGCAGGATCTAGGGCTGACCCGTGAGGAATTCCAACATTTAAACATCAGGTAATGGGGGAGATGGCAAAGCACATTGGGAGGAACCCACGAGGGAGGTGGGAGGAAGATGAGGAGAATGTGGTGTCAGGCATGCCAACGGGAGAAAGTTTCAAAGAGGGAGGGAATGACTATATGGAACAGGTCAAAGGTCTAGAAAGGATGACTGGAAAGTGCCTACTGGATTTGGCAACATGGCGGCTCTAGAGGATGGTGAAAAAAGCAGAGTCAGTGCCATGGTGGTAGTAGAAGCAAGGCTGAAGGGAGTGGATGAAAGAACTGGAAGTGATGGAGAGATAAGAGAGTATAATCTCTGGCTTTGAATGGAGATACCAATAGTTAGAGGGAAACATCAAGTTAAACAAGAGGCCTTTTGTTTTGCTTTCACAAACATTAGAATGCTCATGTAAATGTGTATGAGAGACAACTGCTGGCTGGAGGGCATTATCTGGGATGGTTGTTTGAAGGGAAAAGGGAAGAAGGCAATGTGGGTAGGCTTTTGATATGGTAAGTACTATGCTAGGTGATTGGCACAGTACATGATTTATTATTCACAACAGCCCTGTGAAGTTGATATGATTATCCTCCTTTACAGATGAGGAAACGGGGTTAAGTGGAGATAGAGCCAAAGTCTTAATCCAGAACTATTTCATTTCAGAACTCTCACGTATAGTCTCTTAGGATTTCTTCTATGATGGAAGGATCAGCCAGTTTGCTAGAGCTGGCATGGACTAGGTGACATGAATAACAGGAATTAATTTTCTCGCTGTCCTGGAGGCCAGAAGTCCAAGATCAAGGTGTTGGCAGGTTTGGCTTCTCCTGAGGCCTGTCTCCTTGGCTTGCAGATGGCCGTCTTCTCTCTGTGTCCTCACACGGCCTTTTCTCTCTTCACACGCATCCCTGGCATCTGTCCTGTGTCCAAATCTCCTCTTCTTACAAGGATACTAGTCAGACAAGATAAGAGCCTGCTCTAAGGGCCTCATTTTAATTTCATCACCTTTTCAAAGGCCTTACCTATCTCCAATACAGGCACATTTTGAGAGTAGAAAGTAAATATATAAGTTTTGGGGTGGGGTGGCATTCAGTTTATAATAGATTCCTTCTGTTTTCTTCAAGTAGAAGGAAAAGAGTGGTTGTGGGAGAAGTTTTGAATAGCCTGGAGAGGGATGAAACAGTGATTGCCTAAAGGTTGGTTGAGGCCAGAGATAATTTGTTTATATCCATCCAGCCCAATTATCTGGGTTTCCGCAGCAACATTCTGGTATAAGGTTAGAGAAATATAAGAACTGTGCGCTGTGATGAGGCTGCTGGGTGTTCACATGGCCTTGGTGACCAGCCTGATGACTCTCTTTTCTGTGCAAAGTTGAAATGTAACTGAGTTTTAATCACATCCTCATCACAATTACAGATAACTACATGTCAGGGACGTTTCTGGCTGTCCTCAAATAGTGGCAAACAGGAAAGTGAAATAAATCAATGATTTTGTTGCATTCACCAGTGCAAAAATTAGCTTAAACATTTTCCCAGCTGGTTCTATATATTGTCTTTCACGATTCCTCACCAGTATCTTCATTCTTCTTTCACTTTCCCCTTTCTTTCTATCTTCACTCATCAATTATTTATAGAGCACGTACTCGATGTCTGGCCCCAGGAAGAAAAAAAGTCAATAATCTAGTGTAGGAAACAGATATGCATGTGTGCAAAAAGCCCTCAGGTTATGAGTCATTATTAAAGTAATAATTTATTTGTTCATTTATCCCACAAACACGTGTGCCTACTAAGTGCCAGGCAGTGTGTTAGGCATGGGATAAGATATGGATGATAGTTTCTGCCTTCAAGAAAATTACAACCTGATATAGAAAAATAAACAGGTAAGTAAAAACAAAACAAAACAATACAATGTGTTGTTTGTAAAATATTAAAAGATCTCAAAGAAGGGAGTGACTCTCATTGCTGCATTCCCTTGCATGTTTGGACATCCACTGAAAGGAGACATTGCTGAATTTTAACAAAAAATAACTTAAAAAAAAAAGAACATCCAACTATAAAAAAACGAATATTCATTTTTTAAAAAAGACATTTTCGAATGCTTGCCCTTGTTGTATATGGACAGTTTCGTAGCTCTTGAATTATGAGCAAACAGCAAATTGGGGGATGTATGGCTGTTCTCCTCATTTGAGTTTATTGTCCACAACCTGCACTTTCAGGTGGTGGAATGATTCACATTTTTCTGAAATACTCAACAGAAACTTGCTAAATATTACAGGCTGAGACAAGTCACAGTAACAGAATATTACTGTGATGTTGGGTGAGCAGAAAACATATGCTGGCCTAGTACATATCTCTAATATTTGGGGCTAGAAACTATGGCTCCCTGAATGTGACTTAATAAAAGATGATGAATAGTAGGTCAAAAATGCTGAGAAGAAAATGGATTTTTGTAGATTATGTATTGAAACATTTTATTTTTTAAAAAAGTATTTTTTAAAAATTTTTTCAGAGAGGAAAGAGAGAGATGGAAATAAAATCACTGAGAGAGAATCATTGATCAACTGCCTCCTACACGTTCCCTACTGAGGGATTGAGCCTGCAATGTAGCCATATGACCTAATAGGGAATCCAACCATGACCTCTGGTTCATATAATAGGTTGACCGGGCTGTAATTGAAATATTTTAAAGTATCACTTATTTTTCCTTATCTTAGGAAAAAAGTTATTTTTACAACCAGGTAATTTGGGATTGATTGAGACAAAGGATATAACCTCATTGCTTTTTTCAGAGGTGATGTGCTATATACACACTCAATGTCTTATCCCCCATCTAGGCTTATTTATGTTGGAAAATACTAACCATATTATGGAAATGTGTAGGTAGTTGGAGAGAGAAAAGAGAAATTTGACAAATGGTATATATGAGATTTAGAATCAGGGAACAATAACAGCTGAAAATTGCTTTGATGTCATGCAGTGAACACCCACTATCTGCCTTTTGACTACATTTCACAATGGTATTCTAGAGTTTGCCATAGTGGAAAGGGCACCCGGTGTTTATAAGTTCTAGTCTAGCTCTGCCCTTGATAACCTAATGTGCCTTATTTCCCAAATCTAAGATGCAGTGGTTCTGGAAAAGGTCTTTAAGGCTCTCCCAGTTCTGATATTTCATCATTCTGTGATTCTACATCCCATGCCTATCAACGTATTTTGACGTTCTTTAAAGAGGTTACTTGGGCCAGAATTTCAGTTAGCGCATCCAGGAGCCTATTTCCCTGGGCTGTTGGGAACAGCATGGCCTTGCTTCTCCGGACTTGATTTGTTTTCTGTTAACTGCTGACAGCGAGCCATTCCATCTAAAGGGCTCCCTTGGTAGCCTTAAAGATTGAAAGGACAAGTGGACAGTGTTGAGAGCCCTGTGGAGGAGGCGACCTGAGAGACATTGACCATCATGACCCCTTGGGATTTGCAAAAAGGAATGACTCAAACTGGGCCATTCACTGCAGCCAGGTCAAAGGTCAGGTCAGGAATGTGGACAATGCTGGTGACTCCAGGTAGGTCTAGGAGGGTCAATAAGCCTCTTTAGTCCCTCCTGAATGTTGAGGAGATCTGGACAGCCAAGTTCAGAAAGCTTAGGAAGTCTCCTAATTTCTGAAATGTCTTGAAGAAAAATATGACATTAATTTTTTAAATTATTTTATTAATTTTTTTACAGAGAGAAAGGGAGAAAGAGAATCAGAAACATTGATGAGAGAGAAACATATATCAGCTGCCTCCTGCACATCCCCCACGGGGGATGTGCCCACAACCAACGCACATGCCCTCAAACGGAATTGAACCCAGGACCCTTGTGTCCGCAGTCCGACGCTCTATCCACTGAGCCAAATCGGTTTCAGCACATTAATTTTTTTATTACCACCCAAACATTGTATTCTTACTTAATACTAAGTTAATCTATTCTAAATATTTTTTCAGTTCAAACATTTGCTAGACACGCTTTTCTGAACACTTCCCGAGTTAAAGGTCTGGTTTCAACTGATGTCATTGTGCAATGGACACCCTCTATTTTAGGGTTTTTAGACTATTGTTGAAAGACCTTTTGAGTTTTATTATCCTATAGTTTCAGTTAAGTAATATTAAATATAATTCTCTGGTGGCAGAAATATATGTCTACTATTATTTTGCTAAAAATAAGCTAACTTGGGAGTGATTATAAAATAATTTGGAGTATTGCCTTTCTTGGTGATAAAAAAAAGGTAATGGCTAATTTGTGAAAAAGTTATTAAACCAGATAACTAAAAATAATTTGTGTTCTGATAACAATTTAAATAAATTACAGGTCTTCCTATAATTGTTTCTACCATGGAATTCCATAAAAATTTACATATTTAAAAAAAATTAAATTCCTGTATCTGATCATGAAAACTAATAGCCATATAGCTAATACACAGTACAAGATGATTCCTCTTCTTTTTCTTTTTTTGTTTTGTTTTTGTTTTTGTTTTGTTTTGTTTCTATCTAGTTGCTTCCAAGATCCGGTACTTACAGGAATATCATAACCGGGTTCTCCACAACATTTACCCTGTACCTTCAGGAACAGATATTGCAAACACCCTGAAATACTTTTCTCAGACCTTGTTAAGGTAAGCTTTAAAATATCCTCTGCTTTGAAAGAATTACTAGGTAGGACTGAAGTGATGGGGATTTACATTTTGATGGAACTGAATGTGTCGAAGGGCCTTTTTCCTAGTGCTCTGCCAGAAGAGTCTGGACTCCAGGTCCCTGGGTGTCTATAGCAGATCCGATCACAGGCCTGAGGGAAAGAAAAACAGGGTTGCGTGGCTTCTGCCTGCTTCCCTCCGTAGAACGTCTTATCAAGAGATTGATAGAGTGATAAAAGTTATATGTCTAGCAGTAAACATAGAGTAGGCTTAAAAGGAGAAACGGTATTGCTAACATTAAGAAAGGAAGCACTTACGGTCTTAAAGAAAATCAGAATTATGTAGCATTTTAGGTTCATCAGTAGTATTTCGTACTGATGTATAATATTTAGTAAGAACATATATTACATGGTATACTATGTGGTGATAAGTTATTTTTCATTGGTGTGACACTTCAAGTGTTCACCATGCTTTTCAATTGGTAGAGAAATTCTCTGGAGGACCAGGAAACAATAGATACTGTCAGCTTTTACTGTAACGTAGTGACCGGAGGGACCTCTCTGCTTCACAGTTCTCATTAGGAAAATAACATCCAAGAAGTGAGGGGAACACTTTGCTTTGTTTTAAATTCTAAGGCTAGGTCTCTTTGTTACCATGGTCTTGTCATTCCAAATCTGGTTTTGGAAACACATAGCTTTGACCCGCTACTGTTTCTTTAACTATATAACAGCAAAAGTTTGGTAAGACAGGTATTAGGCAGGGAAAGAACACCAATTTGGAAGGATTGCGGTGGCACTGGAGTTCACTGTGGTTTGAGGTTTTGCCCGGGCAGACTGAACGCTCTGTAGAAAGAAGCTTCATGTGGTCAAGTCTGTTACTAGCCTTCTGCAGTCCTGCTATCTCTTTGTTCTGATCTTTGGAGTATCTTTTCTTCTTTAGAACCTTGGGTGTCCCTGTTCTACCTTAAGGGGATTCTGTTGGTCAGATTCATAGATTTCATACTTGCATAGTAAGTTGAGGACCTTGTTATAGGAGATTTCCCTTATTTTCAAATTGCAGTGGAATGATTAGCTCAGTTTTCATAGTAATAATCAGATAAGTTTATGCACAAAGGCGGTTGATTCTATTCTCTTGAATTCTCCTCTTGTCTTTGAGGTCAGTTTTCTCAATGGGAAACACTTTCCTTTATCACACATTTTTTAAGTTCTCCCATTGGGAGGTACTTCTCAGTAAGAAGCAAATTCTGAATTCCATTTGCAAAGAAACTGTGACATCCTAGTTGGAACTTGGAGCTTACTGCTTAGGTCTTAGTCATTGTGCCAAAAGTTAAGAAATTTAGGATATCGAAGTAATGTTTGCAAGACATGAAGGTTCCATTTTCTTGAACAATAGATCATTAAAATATGGTCATGGGTCATAGCATTTTAATAATCAAACTGATATTAAGGTATTTTGTTCAAGTGGCTGTTGGAGAAGATTCTATGCAATTGAGCCAAGTCCAATTTCAAAGGGAGACATCAACAGCTGCAATACTAGTAATAATTAAAAGACAACAACTAGTAATAATACTAACGATAGCTATCGTAATCATAGTAACATAGTATAATAATAATAGTAATTATATGTGTCAAGCACTGTTTTAAGCACTTTTCATGTATCATCTTATTTAATTAATCCTTTATAATAATTCTATGAAATAAGTGTATTATTAAAATAAATTTTAGCTATAGTTTACATTCAATATTATTTTGTATTGGTTTCAGTGTATGGCATGATGGTTGGGCAATCATAGCCTTTTATATAATTTTTACATTCAGAAGTTCTTTTTGCTTTTAGAATTCAGATACTTGGAAGGAAATAAGAAGAAAGAGTTTTCATAGAGTAACCCTCTGTCTTCTTATTTGAGAATTCTCAAGGATGCTAACATTATTATTATTTTGATTAAAATATGCAACTTGAAGTTTTAGTAGCTTCATTGGAGTCAGAATTGCATTTTTAGAGTAATAGTCCTCTGGAATTCATGCATGCATATTACTGTCATTGATTTCAGTAGACTTTTGTACATATTTCCAAAGGCAGTAATTATCCTACCTGTTTAACTTCAATTAATTTAATGCACAGGAGAGAAGCGATTATGTTTAGCATAACTGATAGATCAACAGTTGAATAGTCCACACATCCACTTAGCTGATAATTAGGCTAGGATAGAGTGCATGGTGGTTCCCTAAGCTCTAGGTTGGTTGAAGGTGAGTCCCGTGTGTTATTCAGCTTGCTAGCCCTCGAGCCTAGCTCAGTGCTTGGTCCTTAGAAGATCAGTATATGTTTGTTGAATTGACTTGACTTTGGTTCATATTTCACCTATGTAGGAACCCTTCTAGTGCATTTACTTCATCTAACCTGGGATCTTGGGTAAAATTTCATCTGAATTCTGAGTTGTACTCATTTTAATTTCGTAGGAACCTAAAGTGTAGGAATGGACACACAGTTTTCACACAACTTCAGGGTTTAGTTTTTTGTTTGCTTTTCGTATTAGAAGCAACTATGAAGATCATCTAATTTAATCCCCCCTCACCACTACCAGAGGTGTCTGTCTATCATCTATTAGAAGCATTTGTGACCGTGTTTTAAACATCTAAGGTCTTTAAGGATCTTGCCTTTTACCTGGCAGAACATTTAAAGGTTTCCAGTCTTCCTACGTCAAACATTCTCTCTTCTCATGCCATTCAAGCTAGTAGCACATAACATTTAAAAAAAAATAATTAAGTTTGGGAAAAGTCATTTTCTGCTAACTCTTAGAAAAAGTTTAATATGTTTTTAAAAGGGATTCTAGCCTCATAATTGAATTATAATTTCTGATTACTTAGGAGGAGTATATAGACCTTCAGATTACTGATTTGAAGTCTACAGAGAAGCTTCAAATGATTAAAAAAAGTTTGTTTGGTGCATTCAACTCAAGTCAACATTTATAACCTTAGAGAAAGTTTATTTTATGTATTAATTTTCTGTGCTATAAATACCTTGGGGCAACTTCTCATCTTTACCAACACCCACAGAGATCTTTTCTCGATTTCTCTTTATGTTGGAAGTAAAAGCTTGATAAAGAGGATCTCAGGAGGGAGAAGGAAAGGTGAAAAGTTGGATACTGGTCAAACTCTTCTGAGCAGGGCGTTCTGAATATTCCTTTTGGTTGGATGTACAGACCTCTGGGAAAGAATTTCAAATGGGAAGTTGGTTTTATGATTCCCAAGTTAAATAGTTTGGTTGGGGGAAATAGGTGTTTTTTGTGTCTTTTTTTTCTTCCTGAATAAAACTCACAAAACATCATAAAATCACAATACATTGCACATTTATTCATGAGCCCTTCTTAAGTTTTTCCACAAATGAAAACATTTCCTCACATTGAACATGAGTGGTAATTTAAAGCTGGTGTCATGGATAACTCATCCTCAGCCATTTTTCTCTCTCTCAATTTCACCTACTTATTGAATCTGAAGGCAGTGAGAGAGTTTTACCGCTTTAATGCTGACATTCTTCCCTTCCTGAATTTGTCTGAGGTTGTTGCTGCTAGCATTTGGGAATGCCACATATACAGGAAGGGAAAAAGATCAAAAGAGAACCTCCAAAATTGATTTACTAGTATTTGTCAAATTATATCAAACTTTGGAAAAATAGCAATGTATATTTGAAATTATAATGTGCTGTATTTCCCCCACCAAGACAAAGTTTGATGAGAGCACTGTACTTGATTGAAAGGACAGTATTAATATATGATAAAGAGAACATTTTATTATCAATGGCAAATTATTTTTTTTATACCACTGCTGAAAGATCCACATCTTATAAATTTGAAAAGATGCTGGTAGTTGGTTAATTTAGGGCTGAAGTTTGGGAAATAATATTTCTGACATATCCATTGTGATTCTAAAGGTATTTTCAGCGAGATAGAATCCTATACGTTTTATATATATATATATATATATATATATATATATATATATATATATATTTTTTTTTTTTTTTTGGTGGCTGGGCTTATTATCAAGACTATAAAATTTAAAGGTGGTATTTTTAGGAGTAACTGAATTATGTGAGGAAAGTATAAAATCTGATGGAATATGATGATATTTATATTGGATATAGACAGGCAGGGGTAACTGGAATGTTGATATTATCCCATTCTAAAGTAGAAGCAGACAAAGTTAAATACATCACACACAAAAAAAGGTAACTTAAATCCCTTTAAAAGTTAAAAAAAAACCTTACAATAAATCTTAAGTTTTTTATTGCTAAGAAGTGTTACATAACTATTCTGAAATTATTTTTATTATTATTGATTGTTTTTCCCTGGACATTGGGGAACAGAAGACAAAGGAAATTGAGGTAAATTAGGCACATGGAAAACAAGAAGCATGTAGTTATTTTTCTTACATTGTAACATATTTTGCACTAAGAGTAAATAAAAATAAATGTAAATTTGGAATAGCAAGCATGCTTGACACTAACCAATTCTTCACCCCACCGTAAAATTTGTAAATGTAGTATCATTAACTAAGAACTTAGTAATATTTTATTCACATAGAATAAGTGTAAAACAAGGTTATTTTTATGTAATGAGGCGTTTATAAATTGTTATCTGTTTTGATTAACATATAAAAGCACGTTGTAAGTACAGCAGATATTATCATTATAATGTATAGCTATTGTCTGTAATGATAAATAGTATAACCGCATTTTAAAAAATCTAAACATTTGGCTATGTAGTTATTTTTTTCTATTTTTAAATTAACAACTTTTCTGCTTTATCACTTTTACTAAAAGGTTTTTATTTAAAGCTGAAGGCTAAAAGAAAGCCAATATATTTTTATAATTTATTTTTATTCCCCTTAAACTTTTTGTTAACTTTCTAAACTATCTTTCCTCTAGTTTTTAGTGAGTTTTGTTGAATAATAACGTAAGTAGCAGCAGTAATGAGATCTTATTGTATAATATGCAGCTACCTGGCAGATACTGCTTGCTTAGCCTTTAGAATTTTGAAGGTAACTATTTAATAAGCCATTGTTTGTATTCATAGATTAAAATGTTTCTTCCCCAACATGCAAAATTAAAAACACACACATAAATAACCATTATCATTAGTTCACAAACATATGCTACGGACCATTTAATATATATTATTTTACAGCTTTTCCAATGTAGTTTAGCTAACATTTTAGAAATATGTATTATTTCTAAATTCATATGCCTGTTTAAACTTCATTATCTCAAATGATACTGACAGAATGTCATGAAACAGTATCATAATATACATATAGACATTATTTTGATGCAATAAACATGTGATTTTTAAGACTTTCTTAATAAACACACATGTTTATTCTTTGCTAAAACATGTTTCTGCAAGTGCCATACCTATATTTTGCAAGTTTTATTTACCTGATTAAGACAGTCTTGCTAGAAACTTCCTTTGTTTTGAAAACTTTTTAAAAAAATTAAGAATTAAAACCCTAACTTGGTAGACAAAGCTGCTATTTTTCCTCCCAGGAAACTTTTTCACCAGACCGATAAACTGTAAAACATGGGTTTGGCACTGAAACATGCATTTTTATATTTTTGCTCCTTACAAACCAGATAACACATGAGATGCAATGCAACTTCCACAAAGTAAACCTTGCCTTATTGGTATCTGAGCACGAAGCCGAGTGACCTGACCCAGGTTTGCAGATGCTCCTGGTGTGGCCACTGCATCTTATGTGGGGTGTATCTGGTGTTTTATTATTTGTTTTAGAGTGTCATTTCAATGTAATGTGCTGTTCTTTGTGTCTTTGTTGTCTCTTTTTTTTCTTTGTCCCCCCAACAGCATTTTGTCCCGCACAGGGAAGAAGGAAAGCCAAGATGCCTCCAATTTGACAGTGCCCATGACCATGTGTCTTTTTCCTGTGCCATTCCCACTCACCCCATCTCTAAGACCGCAGGTCAGTTCCATCAACCCTACTGTTACTCGCTCCCTCCTTTACAGCGTCCTGCGAGATGCTCCCTCTGAACGCAGCCTGCAAAGTCGTGATGCTCACTTGTCAGACTACCCTTCCTTGGACTATCAAGGCCTCTACGCGACTTTGGTGACTCTCCTGGATCTAGTTCCTTTACTACAGCATGGCCAACACGGTGAGCACTCACTCGAACACTTTGGGATTGTCTATGGAAGTTGCTGACTGTTGTTATTGGAGTAAATTGCTTGAAAGGTCTCTGTGAGGCTAAAGCCTTTCTTACATTGAAATTTAATTATGATGTTTTCCATCCTAACATTTCTCTGTTCTATGGCCAGAGAGATGCTGTCCAAGTGGGCCTGAATTGGGGGTGAATGGGCCGAGAGAGGAGAAAGACTGTAACAGGAATATATCTCTTCTCTCCTGATCTGCTTATCATGCAGACTCTTGTTGAAATGATTTGGGAGTGAAGACTTAAAAAGTTGCCCCCTTGAAGATATAAGAGGTGAAGCTTGAAGAGCAGGTTAAATGCAGACTTTATTCTGTGATTTTTTTTGGGGGGAGCCAAATCATGGAATCTCTCTGGGATTCATTTTTCCTGTCTTGAAGCCCAAGACATTAGATAAGAAGACATCTCTAAAAATAAAAAGAAATCTAAGAAATGTTGCAAATGTAACCAACAACCAGAAGTTAATTACAGAATGTTGGCTAAGTGGTAACTGTCATATGCTGTATAAGGTGTACAGTGAACAGTATCAGTGGTGCCTTAGGACAGAGTCAAGAATATACTTCTTAATTCTTCCTCTTTCTTCTGTGTGTCTTTAGGCAATTTCATGATCTCGCTTGCTTACCAAATTCTTCTATCCCATAAAAAATAGTCCAATCATATTTACTGCTCAACCATTCAATATTATTGTTGGGTGAATCAAATGGGAAACCATACAATAAGAAAAGGGATTTTTTGTTGTTGCAGAAAATGAACTTTTATAATGCCAGTTGTTTTAACTTGAAAGCACTGACAATTTGGTTTCTAGAAGGATGATAACCAAAGTTTCACTGTACAAAAATATTGGAATTTGGAAAATGGATGGGTGATGAGGGGTTATTTTGCTTTTTAGTTATGGCTAACTCTCCTGTGAGAATGCTTAATGGTTTACTTAGTAAGATGTGTTCCTAATTTTAAAAAATTATAAAAAAAACCTACTTGCATAAAAATGATGAAATGGTGATTATTGAATTTGTTTATGCTTATAATTACAATTCTGTATTAGAGTGAATATAAAAACATAGACATCTGTAAATTTGCTTATTATATAATTCTGTAGCTGTTTTAAGCCACGTCACTTTTATTGTGGTCCTATCCCAGCTCAGAACTTAAAGGCGATGACTCTTTGAACAGGAGGCTGCCAGAGTTTCCTATGTGGTGAGCTGGTCAGTGCTTTTCCTTTGTGACTCCAGTCCTGTGGTCATCTTGGACCTGCCTGGTCCTGGGCTGGGCCGCTGTGTTAGGCAGCTGTTCTTTCCCTTCAGAGCCCCTTGCTTAAGATTCACTTTGGAGACTCACAATTCAAGTAATTGCAATTCATGTGTACATTATGACAATTTCAGGGAGAATGATTTGTATTTTTGCTTTTACACCCACAGCTATTTTGTGACTTTTCACTGTTATGTATATACCACGCTCTTGTTCTGCTTGACAAAGCTTGAAAGATAGTGGGGACCTCACTAGACCACCCCTGAGAGGTTAAAAACGGTACAGCATTTTCCTCTAAGCATGGTCTGAACAACTTCAGAATCGCTGAGGAATCTTGAAGCATGGAATTCTGGGTCCCAAGCCAGGACTTCTGAACAAGAATCACTGGATTTTTAACCAGCTCTCTGTGTGGTTCTTTTGTACACCATGTTTGAGAACAACCTTCGGCTAGGGCTAGAGGCTGTGTCTGCACAAGGGGCAATGCAGTGTACCCGGAAGAGCCCCATTTTTGTCTCAGTGCAGCCTGCTAACTCTTAGGAAACCTTGGACAATCACCCCCCTTCCCCAGGCCTGTTTCCTCATACGAAGAATATTCCAGGTGGCCTCTCAGGCCCCTTTCTGTGCTAATCTTCTGAAAATAGGCTAAAACGCAGCCGAGGTATCTTTTTATGCACTTTTTATGCTTTACTTGTGAACCACCTATGGGTTTTCTGTGTCTTCATTGGGAACCCAAGGCTGGCTGACCTTGCTCCTCAGTGTATAGTGTGGCCACATCTTCTCTGTTGACAGTTGATTGCTTGCTGAGATGGCAAATTAATTTTAATGAAAGTCAGAAATACATTAGGCATCAAAATACAGTAGCACTAAGAAAGTAAATCTGCAAAACAAACAAGTCGAATAGTTTTCTTTTATAATGAATATGAAAACAATCAGAGTCTTCATTGTCTAGTCAGCGGCTGATGACCTATATATTGGGAGGTCCAGAATTCAAAATACACATTCCTTGCACTGGGATTTGGTCTACATGCATTCTAAAGCTAAATAGTTATTTCCCCCCCCAAATGTCCTCTATTTTTACTCCTTGTGCAGGTAATAATAATAGTAACAATACTAACATTAATAAAATAAAATGGCTAATATATGCGGAACGCACATTATATGTTAGGTTAAGCACTTTACATTTATCTCATTTAAAGCTCCTAACAATCCTTTTAATGAAGTGAGGTAGGTAATGTTCCTATCCCCATTTAAAAATGTTGACTGATTATGATTAGGTGGCACGTTCTTCTATGATAACCTATAACTAAATACCAGGGACATTCAGCAGTAGTTTATGGCTTCCTTTCTTTGGTGCACTGAATCTGCCCTGGTGCTGGCAGATGCAAATTACCTTATTCCCCATGACTCCAAATGTAGGAAGATTGTAGTTTGGTTGATGGATTAGAAATAGTCTGTTTTTTTAATTTTGTTTTTGTTAATCCTCACCTGAGGATATTTTCCATTGATTTTTAGAGAGAGTGGAAGGGACAGCGAGAGACACACAGAGAGAAAAACATCAATGTGAGAGAGGTACAGCAATTGGTTGCCTCCCACCCATGCCCCAATCAGGGCAGGATGGAGCCCACAACCAAAAGAAGTGCCCTTGGCCAGGAATTGAACCCAGGATCCTTTAGTCTTCAGATCAATACTCTTATCTACTGAGCAAAACTGGCTAGGGCTGTCCTAACCTGTTTGGCTCAGTGGATAGAGCATTGGCCTCCAGACTCAAGAGACCCAGGTTCGAGTCTGGTCAAGGGCATTATCTTGGTTGCGGGCACATCCCCAGTAGGGGGTGTCCAGGAGGCAGCTGATTGATGTTTCTTTCTCATTGATATATCTAACTCTCTCCCTCTCCCTTCCTCTCTGTAAAAAATCAATAAAATATATTTTAAAAAATTTGCTAGGGCTAGCCTGGCTTTATTTCCAGTCCTGCCCTTGACTTTTCTAAAACTTCCAGTGAGAAAATAATTTAACATCCTGTGCCACAGTTATCTTGTATAATGAAAATGCAGGTAAGAATGCTGGAAGGATTTCAAGAATCATTAGCCCATGGAAAGTGCTTCTAATTTATGAAATTGAGGAGTAATACGAATAACAAGTATTCCTGAAGCTTGATAAAGTATTGAGGAAAAGCTCATGTAATAGATATTTATTTGTCTTAATGTAGTCATTCATTAGTCATTTATTGAGCAAATGCTGTACAGTTACTATACTGAGTAGTAAATTTTAGAACTCTTAATAGGAAGGGAGCAATAGTTGCTCATAATTTAAATCAGTTCATAAAAACTTAGAATGTATAATTAGCATATTTTGTTAAATGGCAAAATATTCAGTGACTGATTACTCAATTTTCTTTTGTAGATCTTGGACAGTCGATATTTTATACAACCACATGTTTGCTGCCCTTTCTCAATGATGATATTCTGAGTACTTTGCCCTACACGATGATATCAACGTTAGCTACCTTCCCTCCATTTCTGCACAAGGATATTATTGAATATCTTAGCACATCTTTCCTACCAATGGCTATATGTAAGTTGAATTTTACCTAATACCAGATTATTTTTATATATTGTACAAATGGAAATTGCTTTTTGCTGTTGGAGGCTATAAATTTGTAAGATTATAATGAAATCACTCGCTATGGACATGTGCCATGATTTAAATTCAGTCACTTCAGCATGAATATTATGATGAAAACCAAAGGTGTGGAAGATTATACCTTACAGTTGTTTTATTCACATAGTTTGATCTTTTGCAATAGGAAGAGAGAACATGTCAAGGCAGTTTATGTTTCCTAAGTATAAATTATTAGAGGCCTCGTGCATGAAAATTCATGCACTGGAGCGGGGGGACCCCCTCTCACAGTCCAGGAGCCCTCAGGGACGGGAAGTGACCCAGTGATCAGGGGAAGGCAATGTCCCATCATACCTCTGCTGCTGCCACTGCTGGCAGTGTAAGCCTTGGCCTGCCCTGGTTACCTGTGTCTCTGGTGGCCCTGGGCAGCTGGGCAGCCGCCATCCTAGGCTTTCCTGTGCTTCAGGCCATCCCTGGCAGCTGAGGGGGCTCAGGGGACTGGGGACTTAAGAGGCAGGTATGTGGAGCATCTGGGCCCACCTGGGGGCAGGCCTGGCCTTGCCATGCACTTGCCACCCCAGTGGGGTTGCACAGACTGGGCACTGCCGTCTTGTGGCTGTGGGCGCCACCATATTGGAGGGCATGACAGTCAATTAGCATATTCCCTCCTTATTGTCTGTGGACATAGTCATATTTGAGGGCAGGACAGTCAATTACCATATCCCCTCCTTATTGGCTATGGGCACCACCATCTTTGCAAAGGCAAGAGGGTCAGTTAACATATTCCCTCTTTATTAGATAGGATGCTGTTTTTTTTGACTTGAGGAAAAAAAGGTGGAGTGTTGCCTCAGCTGTAGAAATTATTATCTTTTGCATTTGAGGGCAATAAGTTATGATGGAAGGAGCAATAGATAAAGTCAGGATATGTAGATTATAGGCTCAGTTCTATCCATAATCTGCTGTGTGATGTTTGGCAGCTCCCATAGATGAAACCACATCTCCAGAATGATGATAGCATCAGCTTTCACTCACGGGGATGTGGTGGTGATAAAGTGAATCATAATACATGAAAACTCCTTGAAAACAGTTAAGGTTTGAGACTCATGTGCAAGTATTGTTAGAAACATGTAACTGGTTTGAATTCTATTTTGCTGTTTTAGACTTAATTCTTTAGGCTTTCCAGACATGAGAGCAAAGAGAAAAAAAAAGTTGTGTGGTAGCTTTTATGATAAAAATCCTCCTATGAATTATCTATGTTTCAGTGAACAATCTGAAATGATTATGTTATGGCTTGAGGACTTAAATAGATCTCAATTCAAATCATAGCTCTGCTACCAACTAGCTGTGTGACTTTAGGCAAGTTAACTAATCTTTCTGTTTCTTACCTGTAAAATGAGAATAATGATAATGGCTGCTTCATAAGGTGGTTGTGATAATTGAGAGGATGATGACGCTAGAAGATTGACAAGATGCTAACACAATGCCTAGTGTTCACTAAGTGTTAGTTTACTTCTCTCCTTCCCTCAACTCTTGTTCTATAAAAATACCTTTGTTGGTCACATTCAATTCCTAGTGATCATTTTTCACCATTTTAATGCTATGTACTTATGATCTCATTAAAGTTGCTGCTTTGTAAATATATGTACCTTCGAACCACACTTATGCATTTTATAATCAAGTTTAATTTTAGCTATGGAATTATAATTTTCATGTCTTTTAAGCAAAGAGTCTGCTTTCTGCCTAAATTATGTAGTGATTAAAAAAATTATCAGACTGATTATACCATTCAAGTAATAGAATATTTAACCATTTTTTGTTGTTGTTGTTGTTCTGTTTAACCTTACTGACAAGTACTTGTCTATGGCTACAGCCTTAGAAAGGGATGGCCATTTAGAAAAAATATGAGGTGAGGCTGCATCTTTGTAATAATTAATTAATCCAAATCACAGTATTCCTACTTTTTAGAAATAACTTAATTTTGGGAGAGGCATTGTATACATCAGGCCTCTGAAGTTATACTTAAGAATGTTCAGGCATTGGGACAACTGACAATATGTTCTTCATCTTTGATTAATTTCTACTTAATTAGAAACACAGGACCCAAAACATGCCATGTAGTCACACTGAAATTATAACATATTTAAGTGTGTGAACTGTGGCAACTGAGGAGGACAAAATAGTAAATTTAGTTTATAACGTATGTGCGAATTTTAGTGCTTATTTGTGGAGTAACTTGCTGTTCATTTAGCAATATGAACAAGATGTTTATGTGTCTGAGACTTCATTTTTATCAACTGTAAAGGAGGGGTTTGGAAAAAAATGTTCCATCTCCAAGGTTATTTCTGGCATTAATAATCTACATGAAATAACATCAATCTTATTTTATGTCAGATGCTAACCCAATTGCTGATCTGGTTCATTTATTTTGTTGCTCTAGTTTTAGACTCATAGTTCCGGTGTTCGTTTTTCTTCCCCAATCCTATGGTTCAGTGATAACCAATCTTTTTCATCTTTAAATCTTTGAAAAATAAATTGTAGTACTAACTTTAAAGCCAATTTTTATTAAATGAGTCAGGTGTTTCTTTTATTCCTTCACAAGGGAGGTACAAAGACAGACCCATCGATTAGGGGCGGGGGGTCAGGTTCTAGATTAATCATGTGAAGATGAACTGATGTGAGAATGTGTCTCTGTTGCTTGCAGCCGTGCTGTTTCTATGTTTTGGAAATTGTTTCCGTGTCTAGAAATTCTAACTGAAACAAGAGAGTAGCGTTTAACTTCTTCCAGAATATTATTTCAGGACTGAGGTATTAGGATGAAGGATATTGCATTTTCTGAATACTTGATAAAGTCTTTAAAACAGACACTTTTTCCTAAAAAAAATAAAAAAATAAAAAAAATAGAACTCTCATTTGATCCAGTGATCCCACTTCTAGGAAAATATCTCAAGGAACCAGAAACACCAATCAGAAAGGATATATGCACTTCTATGTTCATAGCAGCACAATTTACCATAGCTAAGATTTGGAAACAGCCTAAGTGCCCATCAAACAGCAGATGAGTAGATTAAAAAATTGTGCTACATCTACACAATGGAGTACTACTACACTGCTGTAAAGGACAAGGAACTCTTACCATTTGCAACAGCATGGATGGAACTGGAGAGCATTATCTAAGCGAGATTAGCCAGTTGGAGAAAGATAAATATCATATGATCTCATTCATGTGTGGAATATGATGAACAATGTAAACTGATGAACAAAAAGAGAGCCAGAGGAAAAAATATTTTAGAATATAAAACAACCACACTTTTATCTCTTTGGTATGGTTTTCTCGTGGTCAAACGTAAAATAGTACAGTTTTTCAGGTATTAAATTATTATATCATTAAGGGTATAGAAGATGACATTTTGAGATTCAACATGGGTCTTACTACAGTTCTTTCAGTTTCAGGGCCATCCATGGACATCAGTTGTATCCTTCATGTTATTTTTGTCAATAAAGCAAGTACTGTGCTTCTATTTTAAATAAGTCATTTTGAGGTACCACAGAGCAAACTACAAGTTTATTATAAAAATTTCCTTTGACATAACCTTTTCTTTTTAATGCCTTCCATAAATAAGATATACTTCTTTTTATTCCAAGTTTGTGCATTAGGCTTTGTTTATTACACACACACACACACACACACACACACACACATATATATATATATATATGTGTGTGTGTGTGTGTGTGTGTTATTTCAAAGATATATATATATATAAAATAAACTAGTGGCCTGATGCACAAATGAAGATTTGTGCAAAGATGGGCCTTCTTTTTCCTGGCTGCCGGCACTACCTTCACTCTGGCTGGAGCTGCCTCTCTGCCTTCCCACGCTGCCCAGAGGCCTGGAGTGGCTGCAGTGGTGCAGAATATCTGTGTTGTCGTGCCATGGTGATGACACAAGCATCGTGCTGGCACCTGTGTATGCAAATTAATCTTCCATCTTTGTTGGGTTGATTTGCATACTCACTCCTGATTGGCTGGTGGGTGTCACAAAGATATGTTCAATTACCATGTTACTCTTTAATTAGGTAGATATATTAAGGAGTTACCGAGAACTGAAAAAATCATTTGCATTTCACTATGAAAACCTCTCTTTTTCTAATAAAGAATCTAATTTGTGGACTGAATTGAAATATGGTTGGTGGTAAGATGATACTTTGGCAGAGAAGAGAAAAAGCCCTAATGAACATTAATTGATGTAGGCTATGTTATTTCAAAGATAATAATAAAGCTGAACAGTTATGTCACTGGAAGGTGCTTCTGGTGTATCTTGGTAGTCAGGACTATACATTCTTGTCTAGTTTCTTTTCTAAGTTAAATTTATCCCCAAAGCTCTAGCTGGCTTGGCTCAGTGGATAGAGTGTAAGCCTGGGGACTGAAAGGTCCAGTCAAGGGCACATGCCCAGGTTGTAGGCTCGATCCCCAGTAGAGGGCACACAGGAGGCAGCCAATCAATGATTCTCTCTCATCATTGAGGTTTCTTGCTCTCCTTACCTCTCCCTTCCTCTCTGAAATCAATAAAATATATATTAAAAATATATTTACTCCCAAAGTCACTTACCCTCAGGAAAAATAAAGGTTCACTCATATCTTTGCATTGACTTCAAAGCAATTGTCTGACTTAATTGAATACCTGGTTCCTGACCCTGGATTATTTTTCATTCTACTAACACTACAGAGGATGTGTGTTATGTTCCTGTGATCTCCCCAAATCTAATAAAAATACTTTAAAAAGACAGTAAAGAACTAAAATATTAATGGTTTTAAGTAATTTTTTATGTATAAACTCTGTTTTATTGGCTAGTGATTATTTTTAGTAAGGTAGGCCTATCATATTTTAAGAGTTTTTTGTTGAATCGGGGGAAATAAGAATCCAGAAATGCTGAATTTTTTCTTTGACTACAGATCTCTTAACCTCATCGAACTTTTAATTTCCTTATTTGTAAAATTGTGAATAATCATAACCTTCTCTGTCTACATCCCATCTTTGAAATAATACATAGGAATAGCCTTTGTATAGTGTAAGTTACCTAAGCATATACCAGGGCTGGGGAACATCCTTATAAGCCTCTCGGAATCATTTGGTTTGGCCCTGCCAAGGCAACCACAGGCGGGACTTGAAATTCAATAAATATATAGGAGCCTTTTTCATAGAAATGGAATTCCCACCTCCCCCTACAGTTTGTTGTATCATAACAGTAATTGTTCTAACAGGTTTCAGGTGCACAATTCTACAACACATCATCTGAATACTGCATTGTATGTTCACCACCTCAGGTCAAGTCTTCATCCATCCTCATTTAATTTTCCCTATGGCCTCCCCCATCTCCTTCTGCCTCCCTCCCCGGGCAAACAGCCACATGAGGCTATGGCTATCATATTGGATAGCACAGCTTTAGCATTTAAGCTCCAAAAAAACAAAGACTTACCTGCTTTGTATATAGCTGTGTCTCCATGGCCTTAAACAATGCCTGGCACATAGGAGGCACTGAAATACTTTAAAAAAAATATCCTCACCCAAGAATATGGAGAGAGAGAGAGAAAACAAAACAAAACAAAACAAAAAATACAACAAAACATTGATTGGCTGGGATAGAACCCACAATCCAGACATGCGCCTTGAGCAGGAATTGAACCTATATCCTTTTGGTGCACTGGCTGATGCTCCAACAAACTGAGCCATCTGGCCAGGGCTTAAAATGCTTCTTTACTGAATAAGTGACTAGAGTGTTGCCTATTAAGTCAGGTGATTTGGGCTATCGTCCTAATAATTAAATTGGTGTTCTCATGCAAATAATTTGATTTCTCTTTTATAAAATGGTTTTTCCATATTCTTTTTATTTATTTATTTATTTTTTTGCGAGAATCATATAAGAGCTGTACCTGATAATAGATTAGGAATCATGAAATGCAGGAACAGATTAGGGAATTGTTATTGCTCCTAAAGGGAGGGCGTGGTGGTGCTGAGAGGATCAGGAAATAGGTCTGAGAACTTGATTATATTTCCTGAGCGCAATATTATGTACAAAAATATTTTTATTTTGATTCATTTTCTCCTTCCTTTCATTGTCTATAGCTGTGGCCTTTTGCACCCCCATGGGGACGAGCAACACATCTGTTTACATCATGCTTTTTTAACAAGATCCAATAAATGATGTGTGCCTGCGCGTGTTTATTAAATTAGAATTGCAATGATTTTATTCAATCTGTGAGAAGGCTACGAAACTGCAAGGCACCATCTGTTTATATAAGCATCGGAGCCAGTTTCCTAGGGCCAGAGCCAAGGGAGCACTCACGGCTTTGTGGTTGACCGTCCTGGAGGGGAGCATGGCTTTGTAGGGCTAGGAGGGACATCCAGAGGTCACCGATTCATTTGCTCCATAAACACACTTCCCCTAAATCATCGGAGGCCCCTGGGCATCTCTCCCATTTCTAACGGCCTCCAGGCGGAGCGATTCTCAGCATATTATTAAAAGTCTGAGATGAATTTAAACAGCGGTGAAAACCATTGTCCCAAAAGGAATGGACTTATTTTGTTGTTGTTGAGATTTTCTTTTTCTTCCTTAAACAAAGGGCACAAGGGGGTGAGCCATTATTCCTCCCACACCTGGACCCTTTAATAAGTGTTTTCTGTTTTATTTCTCATCTCTCCAGCAGTACTTGTCAAATGGAGGTCCAAGGTTCATTTGCATTAGAATCATTTGTTGTGCTTATATATAAGGCACTTTCCTGTTTCCAGACTGAGTCAGGCTCTCTGGATATGGGCCCCCACATGCTGAGTTTGAACAAACTCTGGCTCAGGTCTGCGAACAACTGCATCTTGTTCTTTAGGATTCGGCTCAAACGTCCTTCTTCTTTGATCAATCATATTTGATTAGTCCGCTTTATCATCTAATAGCAATGAATTGATCTTCACATCTTTGTGTAATTATTTAACTTGTTGGTATGGTATAACCAAACCAATTTATCTACCTGACTGTCACCTATGTGGTGAGTTAGCAGCAGCCCAGATGCAAGTGATGAATAAAAAGCAATCTCAAGTCAATGGAACTTAATTATAGACCTGTTTTATTTGTTTGTTCATTTGAGCACCATCTATTGTGGTGCTCAAAATCTTTTATGTAAAAAAAAAAAAAGAATCATGGTAAATTTCTTTGTCTTCTATGTATGTGCTTTTATAGTAAGTTGTCTTATTGTTTTTGGTTGTAGGGGAGATATTATTTCCATATATTACACTTAGTATAGAATAAATAAAATAAAATAAAGGAGATTTTAAAGTTAACTGTTTTTTTTTTTTTTTTTTAGTTTTACTGAACTCTTCTTTTAAAAAATTTTATTTCATTGTTTAAAGTATTACATATAGTAGTATATATGGTTGTGTTTATATGCATGCATACAAGTCCTGTGGTTGATCTCTTTATCCCTCTCCTAAACACTCCCCAGCCTTCCTGATGTAATTTGACAGTCTGGTATATCTGCTTTCTTTGTTGTTCATGTTCATGGTCTTGTCCATGATGTGTAGGGAATTGAGCATTGACTTTCTGAAGGTGTTATACTCACTGTCCACTGTTCTAATCATGCTTTCATTTTTTGAAATTTTAAATATTTTTTTTTATTGATTTCAGAGAAGAAGGGAGAGGGAGAGAGAGAGCAACATCAATGATGAGAAAGAATCACGATGGGCTGCCTCCTGCACGCCCCACACTGGGAATCAAGCCCATAATGCAGGCATGTGCCCTGACAGGAACTGAACTATGACCTCCTGGTTCATAAGTCTGACACTCAACCTCTGAGCCATGTTGGCCAGGCTAATCATGCTTTCTTGACAATTTTCCACACAAGCTCAAATATAAGGAGAGTTTTCTCCTGCTTCTACAATGATCCCTGAGAAAAGGAATTCATTTTATATTTGAATCCTTATAAAGTTTCTTCTATTGTGGATCCTCCCTCAATTACTGTGTTTAGAATAATAAAGTACTTGTTGGAGACAATATATTACCCTGAATGACCCCAATCATTGCTAGTTTTGAATGCTTATTGGGATTACCTGATGTATTCTATTAAAAAAAAAAAAAGACACAGAAAGAAATCTAATATAGTTGGATGTCATTGTAAACAAGCTACTTAAAGATGTCTTAAGTTATTACCCGGAGAACATGATTATGCGGCTATAAGATGAGTTTTGAAGAAACCAACTTGCTTTGCGAATTTATGCTTGTGGCACAGGATGAAATGTTCAGCAGCAGTGTTATTCACTGAATCAAAAGTGCTGTATTTAAAACAACTCAGATGGATCTGAAGATGGTAAGCTTTGGAAAACTAAAAAAGTGGCTCTCATGGTGGTGAAGACGCTAATGGTTAAGTTACATGTGAAGGTTTGAATACAATTTTTTAATGACATGATAGTTGAAAAAAATTTTAAATTAATGTACTTTTTTTTTAAAAATACATGATTTAAATTTTGGGTGACTGAATTAATAAGGTACTCACTGTAAATAGACTATTATTTTATCTATATCTCTAAAAGTTAATGAATTAAAGTTGGGTTCAGAAACGTTTTATCTTTACTTTTTTAAAAAAATATATTTTATTAATTTTTCACAGAGAGGAAGGGAGAGGGATAGATAGCCAGAAACATCGATGAGAGAGAATCATCAACCAGCCGCCTCCCGCACAACCCCTACTGGGGTTGTGCCCGAAACCAATGTACATGCCCTTGACCGGAATTGAACCCGGGACTCTTCAGTCCTCAGACCAACGCTCTATCCACTGAGCCAAACCAGTTTTGGCTTATCTTTACTTTTTTATTGGGATAGCCTTCAACATACCTTTGTACCTGCTTAAAAACAGGATTCTGTTTTTTCTTGCTTTTCCACCCAGATACAAACATCTTGGGAGCAGAAATCACATCTCAGTACAGCTCTGATAAGCCATTACATCACTTTCTGGCACAGTTCCAGCTCTGATAAGCCATTACATCACTTTCTGGCATAGTTTAGGAGTCTCACTGAATGCTGGCTACCGTGCCAGGGCAAAATTTGTATTGTTATTTGTGCAAAATGTCCATTAATATAGTTGGGACTTTTAAAGAAAAAGTTTCTTCTCAGCTTTTATGCTCTATGCAAAAGTAGCAAATTATATATCTACATATATATGTATATGTATATGTATATGTATATGTATATGTATATGTATACATATATGCATATGCTTATGTATATATATGTATATGTATATATATATATATATATACGTGTGTGTGTGTGTGTGTGTGTGTGTGTGTATTGTATCTAATAAAATATATTCTAATTTCAGTGGGTTCCTCAAGGAGAGAAGGAGTTCCTGCCCATGTTAATCTCTCTGCATCATCCATGCTAATGATTGCAATGCAGTACACATCCAACCCAGGTAAGTGGAAATTTGGGTGACTTGACTAGTTCCAAAAGTAATAATTAGTCAAGAGATCAAGCTCACAGGCTAGAAATTCATGAAAAGAACTTTGCTTGGTGGATAGACAAGTGAAGATGTGTTAGATAACAGACTTCTGAGTTGAAATAAATTTTTCTTCCCTTTCAATAAAATATATTGTTGCTATTAGTAGCAATCTTGCAAGAATGTTGAGGACACAAGTTTAGAACATTGTCTAGAAATTGATTAAATATAAATATACATAAATTATTTACTTAGAAATGTAAAAATCATCTGCAATTCTAATAATTAAAGAAAATCATTTGTGAATTCACTACTTTAATGCCACACAAGTATCCTAGAACATAAATCTTTTAGTACATTTCTGATTATTTTCTTAGAATACATTTATAAAAAAGGGATTAATTGGTTAAAGGACTTGAAAAGATTTCAATAGTCTCACTAATTACATATGAAAGTATATGTAACCTGTCATTGAGTATTATAAAATTTGTATAGAGTTGTACAGGTGGAAATAATGTCTTGTTGCAATTTGTATTTATTTGATTACTAGTGATGTTGGACAAGTTTCATATGATTTACTCTGTTTGATTTCTGTTCATCTGTATAATTGCAAATCAACTTTGGGAAACTGACTTAACAAGGGGCTGATGTTGGAGACACATGCTAAGATAAGACAATTTTTATTTTTATTTGATGTTTATTTGGAAAGTGAACCAATTTGATAGCATAGTTTTCAACCTTTTACTTAATTACATAGTAAATTAACTACATCCTATATAATAAAATCTCAGTGACTGAAATGGTGGAATGACCAGAACGACTAGAGACCAGAATGACCACGGCCAGTAGTTAGGGGTGATCAGGCAGGCAGGTGAGCAGTTAGGGGCCATTGGTCTCGAATTGCGAGAGGAATGTCTGACTGCTGGTTTAGGCCCAATCCACTGTGAATCGGGCTAGACTGGCAGTCAGACATCCCCTGAGGAGTCCCAGATTTCGAGAAGGTGCAGGCTGCGCTGAGGGACCCCCTCCTCCCCCCAATGCACAAATTTTGTGTACTGGGCCTCTACCCTCTCTATATAAAAGCTTAAGTGACCGAATGACTGGTTGACTGGTTACTATAATGTGCACTTACCATCAGGGGGCAGATGCTCAATGCAGGAGCTGTTCCCTGGTAGTCAGTGTGCTCTCATAGCCAACCTCCTGTGGCCCCAATTTGCTGATCACCGGCCAGGCCAAGGGACCCCACCCATGCACTAATTCATGCACTGGACCTCTAGTAGAAAATAATAATGGAGTTTTTTACTCTGGATGAGGAGGAAAACTTATTTTTTTATTAAAAAACACTAATGCTTTGTGTGTGGAGCATCATCCTTTAAATATGAAATCTCTTATGATTATATGAGTTTAATTAAAATACATTTATTTTGGGAGTTATATCTCATGTCTCACCCTGTTTGGCTTAAAGTACCCTCAAAATGTGATTTATATTATATATTGTGTTCTGGAAAAAGTCCTTCATTTGAAATCTAAGTAAATGAAGTCTCATCATGAGGGTTTGGTCTTAATTTCTAAGTTGGAAGGCAGTAAAGCAATGTGGGTAAAATTATGTGCTTTGAGGTTAGATGTATGTGGGTTCACATCTGAGCTCACCTGCAAATTGCCAGTTAGCTTAACCCTGAGCACCATTTTTAACCACCTTACGACTAAGTTTCCTCATAAAATTTCTATAAAATGGGAATAATTCCTCCTGCAGTGCCTTAAACTGCCATTGTGAGGATTTAATGAATAAAAGCATACATAAAGTGCTTAGTTAGCATAGTAATGGTCACATTGAAAATGCTCAGCAAATAGCAATGGAATTGTTATAATCTGTCATCTTCTTGGAGTTGAATATTTCATAGGGAAACCACCTTAATCATATAAAATTACTTCTATTATTTCTATGTCTGTATCTTTATCATATAGAATTACTTCTGTTACTTCTAATTCTGTATTGTCATCTATTCATGGGGGAATGTTTATAGCCAAAAATTAATTCTATAGTAAGAATTACATTTGGAACCCCAACCCAGTCTTGCAATGTGGGAAACTGTTAAGAAGTGAAGTGATATCCACCAAGAGGCACTCTGGGACCAAGTAATAGGTCATTGTCCTATTTTAATTTTTCTTGGGGGAGACAGCAAGAGGCAGCTTGGTCCTTGTAAGTCTTTGTTCAACTAGCAAGTTCTCTTGAATAAATCCTCTGTACACGGTTTTGTGCATTTAGGCATTGGGAAAACCATCAGATATGTAAGATCTAGAGGCTCAGTGTATGAATTTTGTGCACTGGAGAGAGGTTCCTCAGCCAGCCTGTGCCCTCTCGCAGTCCTGGAGCCGCTCAAGTGGGCCTAAGCCGTCAGTCAGACATCCTTAGTGCTGCTTCTGGCTGAGTGGCACTCTCCCTGTGGGAGTGCACTGACCACCAGGGGGCAGCTCCTGCATTGTCTGTCCCCTGGTGGTCAGTGTGTGTCATAGCAATCAGTCATTCTGCCATCAGGATGAAACTGGCTCTCTGATATCCCCTCGGGGTCCCAGATTGTGAGAGGGTGCAGGCCAGGCTGAGAGACCCCCACCAGTGCACGATCAGGGCCAGGCAGGGATGTGGGAGGTTGGCAAGCCAGGGAGGGACCGCAGGAGGGCTCCAGGGCATGTCTGGCTCATCTTGCTCAGTCCCGATCATTTGGACCCCAGCAGCAAGCTAACCTACTGGTCTAGCGTCTGTCCCACTGGTCAGTTCATGACATAGTGGTTGATCGACCAGTTGACTGTCCCCTGGTGATCAGTGCATGTCAGTTGAACAACCTTAACATATCATTAACATATTATGCTTTGATTGGTTGAACAGCCAACTGGATGACCAGACACTTAGTATATTAGGCTTTTATTATATAGGATGGTTCTTGCTTCATGGAGATTATATTTAGTTGGGAAGATTGGGCATATTCACATAAATCATTAATTTGTAATAAAAGTAGTATGTGAAACATACAAAATAAATACTGTAGATAGTATTAGTTCATCAGAAATCAAGAACTTTGTAGATTAAAAGGACTAAGAAAGGTTTCATGCCACTTGAACAAAGTATGGGTCTTAAAATATGGATATAATTTTAATTGATATAGTAAGTAGGGTCTTCTGTGAGGGGAAATAATAGGGTTGGAAGATGGATTAGGAAAGGTAAAAAACAGCTATCTAACTAGGGCAACAGCATCTTTCTTCCCTAAGTAAGCATAGGCAAATCAAAGAACTTGCTGCTGCGTAGCTTTTAAGCATTCATCAGGAGATGGAATTGGAAATCAAATGATAAGATTCCCATTCTAATCCATCATTCTGTGACTTCCTGTCCTAACTTGGACAAGGTAGGAAACTAAGTCTCAGTTTATTCACTGTAACATGATAGTTATGAGATAATACAAGTAAAGCTCTTAGCATAATACCTGGCATAATGAATGCTCAATCAATATGGCCTTTTGCTATGATCCTATTCTGCTATTTTTTCCCCTATGCAGTTCTTTATTACATTGATATAAGTTTGTGTTATAAAGGTATGATTACTAGGGATTTTTCTTAATCTTTCCTTTATTTTATTTTTATTTTTATTTTTTTAAATATATTTTATTGATTTTGTACAGAGAGGAAGGGAGAGAGATAGAGAGCTAGAAACATCGATGAGAGAGAGTCATCGATCAGTTGCCTCTTGCACACCCCCTACTGGGGATATGCTCGCAACCAAGGTACATGCCCTTGACCGGAATCGAACCCGGGTCCCTTCAGTCCCCAAGCCGACGCTCTATCCATTGAGCTAAACCGGTCTCGGCTTAATCTTTCCTTTATTGATAAGATGACTGAAATATACTTTCAAGGATCTTGGAATAAAGCTTGATAAAGTCAAGGGCTTATATGATTTTTTGAAAAATATGAATATATGGAAATAAGTAGTTTCTAATTTAATGAGTAGAGTGAAAGTCTCACTAGTATAGTTTATTAACTCTCAAAGAATGTTTTATTTGGTACTTATATTTAATGTTCAAATTACATTTCCTTCCTTACAGTGTATCATTGTCAATTATTGGAATGCCTCATGAAATATAAACATGAAGTCTGGAAAGTAAGTTTTGGACCACATTTAACTCATAGCCACGAACTTAATTTATATAATGTATAATAGTAAAAATTGTTTGCATGTTAAATGTATTTGTAGGTAAAATTTATTGATGTTTTATTATATTGGTGTGGCAGAAACTATAATTCTTTCCTCACTGGTTAATTATCATTTAGAGAAGGAATGGTCTTGAACCAATAGCTTGACCGAAAAAGTAATTGAATATCTTTTATTCTTGGAATTTAGCAAATGCTATATTATATGACAATTTTATTTAATTTGAAAAGTTGCTTAAGAACCTGTCTCCTTTCAAATAGATGTGCATTGTTGCAAAATGTGTTATATTTTAAAAATGCACTGTTTAGCAACTGGCTTATGTTGTTCTAAAATATATCGGGGATCCATAGTGATGGAAAGAGACTAAACTTGGGCTGGCAAATACACAATACATGTATTGCAGAAATGTATAATTGAAACCTATTTAATTTTATTAACCAATGCCACCCCAATAAATTCAATTAAAAAAAAGAGAGATAATGTACATATGAATTCCACCTGGGGGGTTTATTTACATAACCAATAAGTAAATAACAAAAATAATGTTTTAATGTGATCTAAACTGGTTGATGAGATTCCAGGGGAATTAACCACCTCAACTCCTCTATTGAAATATTTCCTGTTTTGGTACTGTCGAGTGAGCTACCTTTATTTTTACTTGATCATGCTAAGTCAAAATATGCTTCCTGCTTCCTTCAGGATCTTTTGTACGTGATCGCCTATGGCCCTTCACAAGTGAAACCGCCAGCTGTGCAAATGCTGTTCCATTACTGGCCCAATCTAAAACCTCCTGGGGCAATAAGCGAATACAGGGGCTTGCAGTACACAGGTAAGAGAAGAGCCCTGTGATGCCCGTCTTTATTTCTCCTATGCCACCTTTGCCTCACCTACTTATATATTTTTTATCCTCCTGGATTATATGTATGTGCCTTTAGACATTGTCATAAATCCTTTCTGAAACTAGGTGGTGTAAAATAAATTAATTAAAATTAATTTTATGACACCATAGTGTAAATCTCAGTCTCATTTGCCACACGTACTCTGTGGTCTTAACTACGACTGATATTAATCACTGCAGAGGTGTGAGCCGTAATGCTGCACATTTGCTCACCATATAGCAAAACTCCAGGTGGCTAATTCTGTTCTGATGAGAAGATTTGGAGCATGTTCAACATTACCAGTACTACACTAAGTGCCAATTAAATGACCTTGATAGCCTAGTTGGACAAGAAGAGTCAACAATTGCTGAATATTGTTGTCAATAACTGAGAAGTAAACATCAAATTTAAATATAAAGACATATTTATTAAAAAACAACAACAAACTAACCCAGGTCCTATGTTGTAATTATTATTAACTATAATAATAAAAGTGTAATATGCTGAACAGACCGGACAGCCAAATGACTGGGCGAAGTCGTGGTGGCTGGGGCCGAGTCAGAGGCGATTAAGGGTGATCAGACAGGCAGGTAGGCAAGCAGTTAGGGGCGATCAGGCAGACAGGCAGAGTGGTTAGGGGCGATCAGGCAGGCAGGCAGGCAAGCAGGCAAGTGGTTAGGGAGGATCAGACAGGTAGATGAGCAATTAAGGGTGATCAGGCAGGCAGGTGAGTGATTAGGGGCGATTGAGGTAGGCAGGCAGGCCAGCCGTTAGGAGCCAGTGGTCCTGGATTGCAAGAGGAACGTCTGACTGCTGGTTTAGGCCCAATCCCTCAAGAGGTCCCAGACTACGAGAGAGTGCAGGCTGGGCTAAGGACCCCACCTTCCCATGCATGGATTTAGTATAATATAATCTATGGCTAATAGAGTTTCAGATGCCCTTGACTATCTTCTCCCTCCACTTAATTGTAGACATAGCTTTCTAAAAATGGCAGAGGTGGATGTTTTGGCAAAGTTAGCTTTCATTCAGGTTCTTGTGTACTGATGTTCTAGAACCCATTTTCTTGGCCTCTCTTGTCTTTCCTAAGGCCATTGGAGGTGGTTCAGCAGGCATTTAATTTAATTCTGTTCCTTATGTTCCTGATGAAAGCCACTTGCTAGAGTTATTAATGCCTGTTTTGATGGTCCTTCCTGGGCTTATTCTAAGCTTAGAACAAATAGTATGGGCTGTAGTGGTAACAATAATTCAGGCAGTTCTCAGGTTACGTTGAAGATCTGTTCCTACAGTGAGACCTAACTCGATTTTCGCCAGAAGTCAGAACCCACCTACATAACCACCTATGTCACGGCACAGGGAGCACACACACAGCAGCAGTGAAGTGAAATAGTAAAATAAAATTAAAAGAAAGGTAAGGATTCCTGACCTTTACTTTTAGTAAATAAATAATGAAAACATAAAGCACATATGTTCCTATGTTGAAATGACGGAACTTTATTTTTTTATAAGTACTGAAAATGGGAGATGGCATCGTAACCACAAAATGACATAAGTCCAACATAAACTGAGGACTGCCTGTATTAAATCAATGGAGGTAGTAATTTTTAAAAGAATTAAAATCGATATTATTGATGTTTTATATAACCTATAATAAAGAATATTGAAATATTGCTAATTGAATAATTTGAATATAAAAGCAAAAGTAGTTGGAATAATTAATAAAATAAAAGGTAAAATGATTGAAATATTTGATACCAACTCTTCTCAGTAGATCTATGAAATAAGCATTTACAGGATGTATGGATGGGTAACCAATATTAAATGAAATGTACTTATTTGGTAAATATTTAAAGAGTAACTCTAACGTGCAAGGCCCTGTGTTTTCTGACACAAAACCAGATCTTATGGAACTTAATACAATCTAGATATGAAAATTCATTCATTTATTCATCAAATTCTTATGCAGTATCCACTGTTAGTTGGGCATTATTCTAGGCATTGGTAATATGATGAAAAACCATACTAAAAATCACTAATATCTTGGTGTGGACATCCCATTTGGAGGGAAAGACCAGGAAACTACCTTATAGTGTGGTAAGTTCTAAGGCAGAGCAAATACAGTTGGCCATTGAACAACACAGGAGTTAGGGGTGCCAACCTTCTCACCCCCTTTACAGTTGAAAATGTATGCATAACTTTTGACTCCCCTAAAACTTAACTATTAGTAGCCCACTGTTGATGGGAAACATCACATATTATAGCCGTTTAACACATATTTTATGTTATATGTATTATATACTGTATTCTTAAAGTAAACTAGAGAAAAGAAAATCATAAGAGAGAAAAAATACATTTACAGTATTTATTGAAAAAAATCTGTGTGTAAGTGGACCCACTATTAATAGCCTACAATTTAAAGCTGGGTTGTTCAAGGTCAACTGTACGGAGAGCTGTGGGAGCACACGGGAGGGACCTCTGATCTCACCCTGTTGGTGGGCAGATTTGCAGGAGGTTGAGTTGTCAAGAAAGGTTCTTTCGCGAGTGACATTTGAGCTGATACCTGAACGAGATGTACACTCCAGACATCACTAGGGGAGTGAAACATTAATAGATAAAAATGAGATCGAAGCAGAAGGAACTGCATGGGTTCAGACTCGGCGGCCAAAGATTGCATGATAGTATTTTAGTTACTGGAAAAAGTCGCTTTGCAGCCAGACAGTGAAGGGACAGGGGTAAGCGGAAAGCCTGGCAGGGCCTATGAAGGAGATTGGATTTCATCCTAATGGCCAAGGGAAACCACACCAGGTTTTAAATGGAGAAACCACATGATAACATTGGCCTGTTAGTGTCCCAGAACCCCCCGGGAAACTGACAGAGGCTTCTGTTTCCCGGGTGACCACACCCTCTTGAAAGAGCCAGACAAACCTGTCTCCCCGGAATAGCTCAGCCTCTGCCAACTACGATCAGAGTGACTCTTTCTTCTCTTGCCTATCTGAACAGGAGTTGCTGTGTGCAGGCATTCAACCTCGTAATCACACCTCTACATGCTTCCATTATTTGCCTACTTGCCAGGCACTGCCCAAGGTCCTGGGAAAGCCGCTCTCTTGGAAATCCCATTCTAGGGGATTATGGCATTCTATGCAGAAAACAGGAGGTCATGGGGAAAATGAACCATTCTTGTCTGTATGTTACTATTGATCAGGCATTGTCCTAGCTGCTTATTATCTCATTTAATATTTTAGCATTCTCTTAATTGAACAAAAATTATAGGCCAAGACCAGATTAGGTTTTACAGACATTTCCTCCATTAATTTTCACAAAAGATCTTGAGAGGCAGGTTTCCTTATTTCAATGTTACAACAAAGAGTGGGGCATAGTTTAACTAACATCCCTAAATTCACACAGTAATAAGGAAACACTGCTTGAATTTGAACCTAGATTCTCTTCATTGAACACTCACATTTTTTGGGTATAACTGTGCTGTCACTTCTTAGTGAAACATTAGAAATGTATGCAATGCCTGCTGTAGTGAAGGATGAAGTAAAGGGTATCATCAGTATTTAGAGTGCACTGCAACCCTAAATATTTTAATAAGAAGAATTATATAGCTTCACAGAATTTTATGATGAAAACTAGAGGCTGGGTGCATGGAATTGTGCATGGGTGGGGTCTGGCTGGCCCACTGTGATGGGGGTAGATCGGGTCTGGGCCAGTGGAGGGTAGGGGATGCAAGAGGTTGGCATCTGTTTTCTTATTCATTTTCTATCTGGGTGATTGATCCATTGCTTTTATTTTTCAGCAGCTTTACTATGTCTTTTTGGGGTTTCCTAAGACTTCTTGATTTAATGTCTCTCATCAGTTTTAGAAAATTGCCAGAGATTATCTCTCTTTTGTTAGTGATAATAGTACTTTATTAAAGCATATTTTATATATAGTAAGACACACAAGTATCAACTATATGGCTGGATCCATTTTGACAAGTATATAATGCTCATCTAATTATTACCCAGATAATCTGAGTTATAACATGAACTGTAGAGCTATCACAATGCTTTTGTTCAAGTAACTCTTATGTTACTTCTTAATGCCACATTTACATATGGTTTATTATAGTACACTAGAGGCCTGGTGCATGACATTTGTGCACTGGGTGGGTGGAGGGTCCCCCAGCCTGGCCTGTGCCATTTATAATATTTATTTATTTATTTATATTTTAAATATATTTTATTGTTTTGTTTTTTTTACAGAGAAGAAAGGATAGGGAAAGAGAGTTAGAAACATTGATCAGCTGCCTCCTGCACACCTCCCACTGGGGATGTGCCCATAACCAAGGTACATGCCCTTGACCGGAATCGAACCTGGGACCCTTCAATCCTTAGGCCATCGCTCTGTCCATTGAGCCAAACCAGCCATGGCTTGGCCTGTGCCCTTTAGTAGTTTGGCAGCCTTTGGGGGATGTTTGACTGATGACTTAGGCCGGCTCCCCCAGGGGACATCCTTAGCGCTGCTGCTGCACTCAACAACCATCAGCCTGGCTTGTGGCTGAGTGGCCCTCCCCCAGTGGGAGCTCACTGACCACCAGGGGGCAGCTCCTATATTGAGTGTCTGCCCCCTGGTGGGCAGTGTGCATCATAGCCACTGGTTGTTCCACCTTTCGGTTGATTTGCATATTACCCTTTTGTTGTATAGGATTGTTATAATTATTCTATTTTGTTATTAGTCATTGTTAATTTTTTGCTGTGCCTATTTCATAAATTAGCCTTTATCATAAGTCTGTATGTATAGAAAAAACACACAATAGTATATATAGGGTTTGATACTATTTGAGGTTTCAGGCATCTACTGGGGGTCTTGGAATATGTCCTGTGCGGATAAGGGGGACTTTGTATTCATATGATTCAGGGATTTATTGTTTTGTGTCTTACTTCATTCATTTAGCATAATGTTACTGAGA